AAAAAATACGGGGAATCATGCAAAAAACGCATCTTCGCACGGGCAGCCCGTGCGTTGGCCAATTTTCATTCATACTTACAGCATTACTAATAGGCCAGGCGAAATTGGTGCACGATTTCGATTTTAAGATGTCACCTGGCTGCATCCACACACAACTATTTCACCTTAACGATTCTACAGCACAGGTCATCTTTGATGAGGTATGTGATTCCCTTCAGGTTCCTCTTTTCTGAATCTCGCCCAACATCACCTGGTACAGCCCAGATATGCCCAATCTCAAAATAACGAACCAGTGTTATACAGCTCATCACTAATTCATCAGAATTTCTGAATCCAAAACCCAATTTTTACAGGTGAATTTAGCAGCAGTAATTTTTAACTTCAGAATCTTACTTAATTTGAATAGCTTTCTCAAAATTGCACAACTCCTTGCGAAACATCAGGTGATTAAGCGCCAGCGCACAGATCCAATAAGTCATCTGCCCAAACACTTGCCCAAGGAGTACCGCATCCGCACCATACACTTTTAGTTTTGTGTGAATGAAGTTGAGCTGAAAAAAGACTGACAAAAATACAGATGGCATAAAGTCAATTTTTGACTAGTCAATATGTAAGTTTATCAAATTAAAAGTTTTAAACTATTCGGGCGAAAAATTGCATTAAACCCGCAGAGGTCAACGGAAATCTCTGACTCCTTTCTATCGCTCTCCCTCTTTCTCTCTTCATTCTTTTTGGATGGGCATCAGGGGACGAAGAACAAAATTACGACCACAAACCAGTTCAATTAAATCATCCAGAGCACGCTGCGAACTTTGCTCCTTCGCCGATTGTCGTCCGCCATTGCCATCCCCAATACCGCCTGCCATCAGCTCATGACTTGATTCATGCTGCAGTATACCGGGAACTGTAAAAACCATTGAAACATTTATCAGGTAAAAAACAAATGCTAATTTTTAGAAAAGAAGAGGCAACAAAGACAATGGATAATGTAATTCAGACCAATTTTAGGTGATAGTACAGGTTCGATAGCACGCTTCAAAAGATTCTGGAATGATTCCTCGACTCGCGCGCGAAGTTGATCACGCAAAGGGCCCAAATCGAAGCTCTGCATTCGTTGGCTGTTTTGCTTCTCTGTATTAGCAGCACTCCATTCCTAAATTCGCATGTTCTTATTATTTTTTTGAAGAAAGAAAGAAGCACCTACTCGGTGTTATTGAAGTATACTTTGAAAGAACATATTTTACACGGAGCACGAAAATAAATCTTGCCTTACACTATTAAACATACTAACCAATGAATACCCTTGTAAAATTCTGGCACTCTAATTAGTTCAGCTACCGAACTGGCATTTTGCCAACGATGTTACGACTTCATCTTTGACGTATTAATACATGTAACACAGATCTGCGTAATAGCTAAATTTGATATCTTTAGCACATACAAGGAAATAAAACGTTATTGTGAACTTTCAGCTTCCTATATTATCTAACTCCCAAAGTCATCTTCCCGCCAGGAAATTTACATGTATTCTTTCCGATGTCCATACGTGATATCGAGGTGTATACGAGCGATAATTTTAAAACGAGGATATTGAAAGATGCATACGGTATTGAAAGATGCTTCAAAAGTTTCAGCTTCCTTGCTTCTCTGGTTGCTGATTTGAAAGTGGGTAACAGTATGCGAACACACCGGCATATACACACAGATACACATGCACACACAAACCCTTGCCAATATGCGTTTTTGGATTTGCATAAATAAGCAGGAACACGTAATTAATGCAAGTTTTTGAATGAAGGGATTTGATGTTGTTGATCAACATCTCAATAACCGACAAACGGGGAAAGACTAGTAACCGAAATTAGCAGAACTGACTATTTATTTAAACATATACTTAATCAAATGGCAGGCCTACATTGTTGTTTTCTCCGCTGTACTGGCGCAGAAGATTCATTAAACGCCACGTATTGACCAGCCATAGTGCTAACACATCCATGTCGCTCGAATGCTTAAAAAAATATCGCAGGAAAAATAATCCGATAAATGTACTACAAAATATTTACTGCACAAAGAAACTACAAAATATTTACTTTTTTTTTCACTCATGCACGTTACGCATGCTGGTGCTGATTTTCTACTACGCAACAAATTGAGCTCGTCAAAAATAAAGAAATTTTGAAAAACTGAAAATTATCAGGACTAGATTTTTTAAGCATTGGAAGGGCAGTTTTAACCTGGGCATTATATTTTAATCTTAAATAATTCATTCGCACGGTGAGTAGTCGTTTTCTTGTTCGAAGACTGCAAAAAGGACTAGAAGTAACCACCTTAGCTGTAAAACATTCCTAGACGAGTCAACAGTAATCTAGTCCTGAAGATGAACAAACTTGCCGGCGATAAGTTTTAAACCATTCATGCTTTAATGGATTCATGTGAAGAACGCCGTGGGTCATCGTGCATTATTTGAAACCGGCTACTGCATAAATTTGCAACTAACTTACTGCCACTGTGTCTTTGAGCACCACGTGAACGGCCGTGAATAGGCCGGTAAGGCCTGCTTCGTCGTTTGCATGATCGTAGTACCGAAATGCTGCCAACAGAAGATAAGCTGGCAAGCAGGGTGTCAGCAACCGTGCAAGCCTTGGTTTCAGGTCTGTAAAAATCCACTAAATAACGTATTATTTACAACTTGAATACATTTATTTTTAGGTGCAGTTTTGCTTGTTGCCTAACATAAAACACGGAAATCCAAAAAGTACAGGCTCCGGACTATCACAGCAATCTGGCACCGAAAGCATACCGCAAACTATTATTCTGGTGAATTCGGGAACATTAAACACTTCAAGCAACGAGGAATGCTCAACGTTTTTTTTCTTCAGCGCTTCCAGCCTGATAATGTCAGCATCCGAAGTGTTATCTGAAACAAAGACATCACATCTATTTCATACTTCACATTTTCAATTGCTCCTAAGCGCAGTTTTACTTATCGGAACAAATTTACGTACCGGTCATTTTGCATTTTTTAGGTTCAGAATAATCCAATTACGAGCAAAATGAAGCTGCATCCAAAAAATAGTAACAACCTAATGAAAAAGTGATTCGACCAGTATAACCGTGAAGTTGTGCCCGAGCTTCGCATAATTCATCTGACTGCCGGTTGATCTTATCCTGAAGACTCTGCAAAAGAAACGAAATTTGCAATGCTCCAAACGAAAAATACATCAAATTTGCAATAGCTTCTAACTATTGAGAGTCCACCCATTTGAACTGACCATAAACAGCAACCACAGCAGAAAAAATGGCTGCTCTGCATTTCATAAAACCACAGTATCATTCAAGAGAACTGAATGTTTGCATTTAAAAGCCCCAATTCGTCAAGATCAATTTCTGATCGGTGACTATAATAGCGAAGGATATCTGGAAGCGATGAGTTGGGAAATAATAAAATTCGGACAAAAAACTAGCCCCAAAACGAAACAAGAAATGGCAAAAACATGATCAAAAGCGCCAAAACTAAGCGGCACCTTATTTTCGGAACCCCAGAGCATCAAAATCATGCGGAAACACCTATTCTATTTTCTGCAAGAAACATCTGTAGACTGAATTAGAGTTTAGTTACCAGATTTTCAGATACCAAATGATTGAGCTTCTGACTGATATCCGTAAATGTTTCTTCAGCAGGTTGGCCATCGTCTACAGATTTCTGAAATGAATTTTTATGCAAAACTGTACAAAAAAAAAAACAAGATTAAGCTGGAAACATTTTACTAAATCTCCAACTTATTTATGATTTGATTCTAGTGCACACTGGGGCAAACTCGCCACCAACTGTCCAGCATTAAAGACTTACACTTCTCAAATGAGGCTTAACATCACTATCGAGCTCGTCTGTGGGAAATGCGAGCTGATAAAAATCAGGTGGGCGTGATAAGCAACTCGAATGTTTATTGATCGATGAGTACATGAATAAAGTCGTCATTCAGTTCAGATTTATCAGTTTACCAATGCTTTCCACAAATACACAGCACACCAGAACCCAATTTTGCACTGGAATCACCAGCTAGTTCCAGGACTTGCATTTCTCTAAAAATATGAAGCACACTTTCGAGACAGTGACAGCGAGACAAAGAAAAACTGCGCTCTTGAAAGAACCTCGAAAAGTAAATAAAGGTAGAACACGTTGTGCTTGTCAAACAGCCACTACGAAGAGCAGAATAGTAATAAGCGAGAGTCCTGAAAGCGTGCTTAACGGCTCAGTGCATAATTTTGTTTGTTTTGTTATTTATGGCACTTAAAATCTAGCGAACTGTCAACAGTTCGATGAAGTGGAAGTACTTTCGACCTGAGACATGTGAATTAGTCTGCGACGCCCTCGGATGGTTACATAATCTAACAACTGACCAGAACAATGGTGCAATGTGCGTTCAAAATTTTAGTGCTCAGTGTTTCTGCAATTCCCACTATCGCTTTTTCACACTTCCAGACGATTTTCTTAGCAACATCAAAAAAAAACATAAAAGGCCCACCACACTATTGATCCTGCTGCGTTTTCCAAAAAACATGGAAATGCCTTTTGAAAACGGTGACTCAACGAGCTGTAAAAGATGCATGACAAATACCAGCTGTCTTCAAAGAAGCGAGCAGAGGTTTCAGCTTTGCCTCAGCGATACTAATGAGGCACTGTGTGCCAGAAAGAAGGTCCAGGTTGCACTAGGATAAGAGATGAGGCGGATGATGAGACTTTCGCGTGATTAGTTCGTAGCAGCCAGGTCAGACCTGGAAGGTTTCAGAGGTAGAAAGCAGACGAAGAAGAAGGAAACTAAGGACAAATCGAGAGAGTGAGGTAAGAAGTTGTTTCATGAATACTAGAAAGGCTACCTCGTGAAATGTAGCAGAAACCTGACACAAACATCCAGCGACGCCAGCCCAACAGTAACTATATGATTTATTGCTCAGCAAGAATACCATGGTTAATTCTCATGCAGCTAATGTGCACAGTGATGATCAAAAGACAGTTAATCGAAGTACACGAACTGTAAATTCAATGAAACTTATCACCAGCTGCATTCCTCGGCCACTTTGTATTACTAAATTGAACAATTCACAGCACCATTTTTTATAAAAACTATCTATTGCCTTGAGTCATATCTTACATTGCATACAAAAATTCAACAGCTGCGGTACACAGGCCCATACCGTTCATTTTCAGCAGTCCAAAAAAAAAAAAATTAGTGGCTCACAGACCTGGAGTATTCATTTTTGAGGAGACACCAGGAAAACTAGTTCCACTAGGGCTCGTTGATTTTTGATAGCAAACCGTGTTAGATATGCCTAACCAGATTCCGGAACATTCCTGGATTAGAGCCGTACTCGCTGAAGGAGCTGCCTTGCCAGTCTTAAAGTGTGTATTGCGGGAAATTGCGCTGCCTTTTTCCACTAAAAACTCCACACCATCCCTGAATTTTTTGTCAATTTCAATAGCACATTAAAGCCACTCCATGGCGAGCAGAGGTAAGCGGTTCGATTCATCGCGCAACAATACCCGAATTTAATGTCCCTGTGTATATGCATGGGTAAACTTTACTGTTGCTCGACTGGTTCAATTCTAAAAACAGAGAATTAGAATTTGCAGCCCTAGCCGACTATTTTTTCAATCAGAATTCGGTATATAAAAGTGAAATCAACTTTCCAGTCCCTCAGTTTTTTCTGACTACAAAGTCCTTCAATTCTTTTTTTTGGCTCACAAGGTCTGACCCACCACAGTTCACACAAAAAATTGCACAATCAAAGTAGTTTTCCTCATATTTCATCTTTTCCCTCAGCAGAAATTTCATCCCTCAAAATAGCAAGGGGGATGAAATTTCGAAGCTCATCTGCAGGCTGCAGTTGACCGTCTGTTTCTTAGTATCCGATGCTGCAAACTCAAAACTGACAGTAAGAAAATAAGGAGAACAGGAAGCCGAGGTTTTCGGCATACCCTTTTCACGGTTAGAAGTTTCTGAATTAGGCCCGTCAAGTTACAGCGATTAAAAAGTGAGCAAAATAAACAGCAATGGTGGGCTTCCAAAGCAAATAAGTATGTGAACGCGTAAGTTACAAAAAATACATGCTTTTGATGAAGACCTGGACAACATGGTTTGAGCAAAAACATAACTTTGAACATACTCGATGGTAAAGTATACTAGGTTCAGAATGTAGCAGCATCGGTAGGATACATAATAAAATCAATCCCACGTCTTCGATCATATTTGAATTTAAAAAAAAAAAAAAAAAAATGCATGATAGCGCCGATTACGAGATACACGTATTGCTTTGCAGCGGTTACACAGTGACTCATGAGACGTTGCTGAAAGGATATCGTATCTCCCTAAAGCTAACGCTGGTGCTCGAAAGAAGGGCTTTGATTCAGAGAAAGTTTTTGTACAATTCATTTCATATGACTAAAACTGTCAAAAAAAGGCGGAGTACAGAGCGAGGATGAGTGATTTTACAACTGTAGAGGTACAAATTGGGAAAGACACTCCACGCTGGGTGTTGAAACTGACCCAATTTGCTGGTGACCGCATCATTTCCCTTGAATCGCTCGTACACCTCACAGAAACACTTTCTTTTCTCAAGGATCGTACCATTCCAGGGGTTATTCAGTAAGGTATGGCATTTGTACCAGGGCACTCAGCAACTAGAATGATCCAGAATGTATCATCGATAGTAAACAGTGCCACGTACACCCTGTCGCTCATTTACCGATCCCTAAATATCGAGAAATAGCGCGTTTACAGATAGAATTGCTGCATAAAATGAGCCGCGAGCTTGCAACTTAAAGCTTGTTTAAGAAATCCCAAAATGAAGCTTCTGCAATGTTAGAAGAGACATTCTGAAGGCGTTTGCAGGCCCAATGATGGTTGCTTATAGGAAATGCATGGCTCGGCATACTGTAGATTCCGATCGGGCAGCACTCTTGGAGCTAGGCCCGATCGATGTAATATTGCTTGAACAAGGATGTCAGGTGCTTTTTTACTGGTAACGAAAATGTCAATGCGTCATTCCGTTTTCCAGACAATTAATTTTGTTTCCATTTTCAAATGAAAAAAAAAACCATCAAATATGTGTGATGAATTCATACGCTTGGCAGTTGTTCGGCCCAATGAAGAGGTATATTTGCAATGCAATACAGTGAAAAAAAGACTTCGGGCCAATTAGTAAAAGACCATTCTGTATTTAATTGCGATGAAAAGAAGAAAGCACCCAAGGGTAATTGAAATGCACCACTCGTAACTCGATTAACATTAATAACATTATGAGATTGAAAAAACCCTGTGCACTTGGGAAAAATGAAAAATCAAATTCTTAGCAGATTTTCGAACATTTTTTGTCAATGGTATCAAACGCGAAACATTTCGAACGCACGGCCGAACACACAGAAGCAACTGAAGTGCAGAATATCAGTGTCAAAGCTGAGTTTTAAGCAGCGAGCACTCTGTGATGGGTAGAAGCGTTTGTTTTACATGTCACCGATGCAGCTTTTAAATGTGTTCAACGGGTAATTAGAGAACGGAAAGCTGAGGTTCCACTGAGATTACTTCGATTTTTCCGCCGTTAATGATAACGGAAGTCTACTTCATTTTTTTGCTTATTAGGGCAGAAAATGAGGCGGGCTTTTGGTATCATCAACGCCAGAAAAATCGAACACATTTTTCGACTGATGGTTTGCTTTGCATTTCTGCATAAATCTGGACGTGCATTTATAAAACAAGGCTAAGATTTAGAAGTTGATTTACGTAATGTATTGAGCCGTGAACGGTAAACTAGAACCGAAAAAACATCGTTGAAGTCATAAAATACTAGCCGTATTGAGGAAAGGCGTTTTCCCCAGCTAAGCTTGGATGTTACGAACCAACGCCAGCTTGACCAGCGGTTGGTAATGCAATGAAGGGTGAAGCAGGTGTGGAAGGAAAAAAAAAACGAATGTATAAAATATAACGCATAATATGATGAAGAAAAACCTAGGTAGTCACGCACCAACTTCACTCGCTTCCGAACACACACACACACGAACAAATTCTACACAATACACTTTCTTACAAATGCATACAACTGGAAAAACGCATAGTAAAAATGCGCACCAGTAATCTGTGTCCTTCATATGTAAATAAATATGCAGCAAATATATAATAAATATATCATATATATAATGCATCTTTTTATAAACCGTTTATGTAAAAGCAATTTATGCAATTAGGAGAATACATCGGCATAGAAATATTCGGCATTTATTGTAGCTGATGCAAAAACACTTAGCGCAAGTGGAACACAAATGCGGTACCGAACAGTGCACAGTGCGTTCACACCGAATAATGAGTAAAAGATGGGAGCAATGAAAAATGGATATACACAAACATCTGGTCCAACGAAAAAAAATCTCCCTGATATGACCTGAGCTACCAGACCGACAACTAACCATTATGGACGCAGCGTCGTAAAAACAGAATCCTGGGACAATGCAATGGAGAGAAGACGGGGAGCACTCAGAGTTACTACTCCAGTTTACCGCACAGTGCAGCTAACTTATTACAAATAATGAGTAAAAGATGGGAACAATGAAAAATGGATATACGCAAACATCTGGTCCAAAGAAAAAAACCTCTCTGATATGGTTTGAGACACCAGTGACCGGGAGCTAGTAATTATGCAGAGACACCAGTGACCGGCAGCTACTAATTACTGTGCACTTTGTGCACACAAAGATTTTGCCTACCATCTTTTGTCCAGCGATAATTCCTTGCAGCATGCGTTAAAAACCAGTGAAAAGGAGAGAAATTAGTCGAAACAGTGATGCCAGTTTTTATTAGCTCTACGTTGTATGAGATTGGAAAAAGGTGGAGGTTCGCCAAACGGCAAGCGCACGCCTTTGTAGCAGCACTGAATTTGCCGAATTTTAGTTAGAAAAGTTGTCGGGAAACGAATTTGTTCTAGGATGCTGCAATGATGCAGCAACCGAACGGAAAAAAGGGCCTGAAACGAAGGACACTTTCCTGAAGTGTGTCTGAAGAGAGCGTTGGCAAGCGTGAATGCCGTACCTCAAAAAACGCTAATCACTCATCAGCCACGCAACTTCCCATCGACTTTATATTAATTTCTGCCTCTGCTGTTCGTTTGCATGGAAATGCCACATACACATGCATTTTTTAAAAATAAAAGTTGAAGCAAGCAAACAAGCAGAAACAGAGAAAGAGCGGAAAAGAGGGAAGCGCAGCATGGACAATTTTGGTGAGGAATGCGCAACCACTGCAGCAACAGCAACAACAACAGCGATGAATAATTCGTGTCCTGAGAATTCCTGTGTGTGACATGGACTTGCCGAGTGGGCAGAGCATACAGCCGGGAACATTGCATTTTCATTTTTTGTTCCGCCAAAAACATGTGCAGCTTGTTAGCGCGCTGAGGATTATCCCGAGAGCGAAAGGAAGAGAGAGGCTGTTAAAGCTGTTTTTTTTTTCACTCAAGTAGCTGACGCCTTTCCCCTTAGGGCTTGTTCTCGCTGCCTGAAAGCATTGGCCCCTACTAATATTTAAAAATTTGGTTATCAAACAGCAGTATGTGACAAATCTTCCAGCAAACATCAGTAAGCCAGATGAGAATTTGAGGGATAAATGAAATGAACATAGCAGCAGCGAAAAAAAAACCAAATGTACTTTTGTTGTTCTGCCTCAAATGATTAGATGATAAGAAACGGCGATATTACGAATACGCTACACTGTCAGGAAAAATTAAAGTTAGCGAGAAACAATCTGTTTTTACTGAACTACAATAATTGATAAAAAGTTAATTTCCTCAGGAAGACTCATTAGACACAAAACCGGTTGAGGAACCATCTCCCGCATATGCCTTTGTTCACCATCCATAATTGTCAGTACAATGGATGCACCCACCCAGTCATTTAGCACGACGTCCAAAAACAGCAGCACATGGATGTGAGTGCTTCCTTAGTACAGTTCGAGACATGGTTATGGTTGTTCGGGCCATAAGACTAGGAGTGTAGAGTAAAATTTTACTTCAGCGAGGCAGTATGCAAATGAATGAACTCTCAACAAGTCCAGTGTGTAGTTTTATTCGTTTCAAGATACAAGACAAACACGGATTTGGACCGAAGGTCGTGGGTGAGCACGCAGAAGATGAGCTGATTCAGGTTTGTACCTTCACAAATACCTTAGGGAATGGTATCTTTTTAAAGCTTACATTCAAATCTGCTTAAGTGATACCGGTTTTTCACAAGCAGGATTTTATTCCTTTTGCGGTTTTACTTGCTTTTCCTGCGAATGATATGCTTCGCATCCGTAATATCACTACTTTTTGTAACAGTTTAGCAGTACTGACAAATGGAAGATGTAAAGGAATCCGAAAATGTGCCAGTGCACAGATGCATCTATGAACGAGCTTGGGACAGAAGCATAGCCTCATGTTTTTCCAGTAATCTCTTAACAAACTTATGCTGCTCTTCACAACTGACCCACTCATAGGGAATAATTGAAAAGATACCTTCGTCGGTGCCAGTTCATTCAAGCGATTCTCCAGCCGTTCAATTTCGGTATTCCGCTCCGCTACTGTCCGCGAGAGGGTTCTAAATTTAAATTGCAGAAAAAAAACTTAGAAAGAAAGTCAATTTTTTACGTGCATTGAATCTAACAGAAGCATGAACAGCTGCTACAGGAAAATAATCAGACTTACTGGATGTGTGCTTTCAGCTGCCGACACTGCCGCTCCACACTCAGTTCTTCATCCAGATCACCCCAAGAACTTTCATCGTCACTGTGCACACCTGACCACTGCCCACTGTCCGGACGCGGTGAATTTGAAGTCTGTGCTCGTCGCTCGAACCGTGCTGCCAGTATTGCTCGTAGCTCGACACTTTCTTCCCGACGCCTGAATCCAGTTCTTTAATATACAATCAGTCGTTTCCGTACACATTTTAAGCTTAGCATTTTGTCTTCTTCACCCCTCCGCATTTCATCGAAAGAAAAAAGAAATAATGAAATGCAAAAATCATTTTTTTTTTCAGTAAAAGGATCTTATTAGTTACTTCCGACGAAATAAAAACTCTTCAGCACAAACTGTCCTTTCAAAAAATACCTAAACTAAAAAAGAACATTTTTGAAAGCCCATCCTTAACTGTCATTTGTTTCCCACAATTTGCATATTTTATCTCAAATGAGAAGAAATTTCACTGCTTTGAACTGTAGTGTTTTGATAAAATGTGTTTCTGAACTGAGGTTAGCGAGCGAGTCCTGCATCGGAATCAGTACATGACCAGCTTACAGTTTTTTGTGGTTTTAAGTGAATACAGGTCATACTGAAATTTCTTGCAGTTTGCAGTGCCGGAATTCACAGCCACTGAAACTGTGAAGAGCAAGATCAGGTCTATTTCACAGTACGTGGACATTTACAAAGTATGATTTTATAAATCATAGCAACTTATGAAACTGAACTGTGCTCGAAGAATCGAGGTGTAAAAAAAAAGGGCTTAGTGGTTGCGAAAACCCACCAAAAATTTATCTGTTCAGAAAAACAGCTGCTTGTCGTAGTACCTGTCATTTTCCTCCAACGTTTTCTCGACAAACGAGCGGAAGTTCACTGCCTCAACGCCACTTCTCACTTTCTCATCAAGTAATCGATCCAATTCATCCTTGAGCTTCGAATACGCCAACTCGAGCTCCTAAAAACCATGGTATCGGATAGAAAACTTGCGCTTCAAAAATTTCGCAGTAAAATGAAACCTCCAAAAAGTGCACTCAAAGCAACAGCTGGTACGAATATGTGAAATGACTACCCACCTGTAAACGCTGTGATTCGTATGCACGCGTTGCTGTGCGCTTATCCAGATTTTCGATCAGCATATTTGCATCCATAATTGCTTTTAAACGATCGTTTTCTCGTGAACTCTGTTCCATTCTGCAACATGAAAAATAAGAAGCACAATTCGGCAGAAAAGACAAACAAAGTTCTGCTTAGCAAATAAGATTCAGAAGTTGTTGGAATGTCGCCAAGTGATGTGAAACAACGTCCACTGCGTCAGTTTTGTCCGTGACCGATGTCCAGCCCCGTTTTGAAACGTAATCACTGTAGAAAGAAATTATGAGCAAGTTCCCCCTGTACTTGTTTTAGGCTTCACACTTTCGACTCACCACTATTTTTCGTTGACCATTATAACTTTTTGTGCATGAAAAAAGTAAAATAAAAGCATACTTTGATCGTAGCACATTGATGATGTGTTGTTGCTTGAGGATCAGAGCCACTTGATCAGCACTGCTATGTTCGCCACCAACGGACACCGTTTTGCCATCAGGGCCAGCTATTAGCAGTTGATGCGGTGGCAACTGGCCCTGACCTAGTCGTAAACCTGCAAACAAGATAAACCAGTGTTATTGTGAAAAGCAAAACAAGTCATCTTTTTTTTGTCGCTTAAAAACTCACGAGAAATAGTAATTTTTTACATATATGAAATGTTTGTTTATAAGTAATATGAGCTAATTTTGCTCATAAGCGTTGGTTAATATTTAAGAAATATCAAAGAAAAAGATATGGAAAATCATTTGTTGACATCATTTGTTGCCTTACTTTCAAAGTAAGCCAGATGCGACCAGCATTCAAAAGTCCTAACCATGCCTGTACAGCATGATTATTCTGAGACCTTAGAAATGAAGCAAGTAAAAATACGAAACGAATAATGATTTACTTCCAGCTCGACTGAGCGCTGGGCTGGCAAGAAGACTCGCATTCGCGAGAAGCTGCTCGCGCATCTGCGAAATTTCCTGTTCGGCTGCCGCACGACGATTTCTTTCTAAATGCAAGCAGCATAATAAAACTGTAACGAATTTATAATTCAAGCGAAGGAATTTTTAGAAAAAAATGCAAACACTCCTACTTTTTCAACAAAGTTGCTACATCAATAATCTCGATACAATACTTCCAACCACAGCCGTCCGGCTGTAGCCGGAAGCACTGTATAGAGATTATCAGTTATACTCTAGAAATGCAGTAAATATTCTGATTTTACGCAAGCGCCACTGCTCACTGCCTAGCTTTAGCTATAACACATACCAGACTTCAAATTAGCAAAGCCTGTGCCTAAACACAAAACTGGCTGAATGCTGCCCCATAGCACAGCAAATCCGCCTTCCCCTACCCTAACAACTTGAATCCAATTTATTTGTAAATGTAAAAAAATCTACCCTGGGCAAGTTCATCATCCACTTTTTTCTTGTCTCTTACAAGATTATCATGAGTTTTACGAAAACACAGCAGTTCAGAATTCAAAGTTTTCAACTTCGTTTGCGCTTGTTCTTGCTCCTGAAAAGCAGCAGAGTGTATCCGATGTTACTCGTAGTCCATCAGCTATGGGAAAAAAATATTTTGGGTTGCTAGATTTGTTACCTACTGATGTTAGTTATGATTAAGAAAAAGTATTTTTCACCTTTACCTGTATCTTAAACGTTCATTTTGACTAGAAACCAAAATTTACTTTGCTACTGAGACGCTCTGGCCCTGATCTTCAATTCATTCGCCCGTACCGTTTTTTTACAAGCACTGAAGTAGCTGGAATCCAAATTGGTAAGAGCATTAGAAAGTAAAGAAAGAACCAAAGTATCTAACTTGCCGGAATAATTTGTTCACCTGTTTTAACTCATTTCTCGCTTCCCTGAGCTCACTCTCCAGACTAGCATTCAGCGCTGCCTGTTCTTTGCGATCAACATCTAGTAGCTTCAGTTTTGCTTCCAGTTCATCTGCACGAGCTTTTGACAGCAGCAAAACACGCCTGAACTGTTCACTGATGACTGGAGATAAGGCTAATTTTCAGAAAAATTTGACTTTTTTCAGCTGTCAGGATGAAGCAGTTTTTGGTTTTGCTTTTTTTTTTATCCATATCTTTATATTTTGAAATAGCTCTAACAGCGAACATTTCAGTTTAGAAAATTTGATACCGAAAATTTAGTTCAAAATTAATACTTGCTTACATGGCAAATGAGCATAGCAAATGATTCTCATCACCCTTGGATGATAATTCTGGACTGCTTGAATGATATGTGATACATGAAATGCTTAAAAAGACGTCTTATTTCAAAATTTGCTTTTGACAGCCAATTATCTTATACGTGTGTGTGCAGGGAAGGGGAGAGGGGAGGGGGGAGGGGGATTTTTTGAAAGCTCATAATAAAGTATTGAACAGCAAAAAGAAATTAAGACTGTCGGCGTTCCTAAAAGTTTGGAAAAGATGAGTGCAATCCAACTGAGCAATTGAAAATTTTCACGGACAGAAAAATACCATTTTGTTGCAGTAAAAAAAGATTTAGAAACATGAAATTGTGGCCAAGCTATTCGCCACTTCTTTACTTTGACGTTTTTTATAAACTAAAGTAACACACAGATATCGGCCGAACATATTTTCTGGACCATTTTAATACAGCAAGCGATCTCAGTTGTTCCCAGTTATTACTAGTGTTTTCTCGTAGCAGTGCATTTCTTCACTGGGAATAGCAACTTTGCCTCCAGAACGCTTATCCGGTAACTGTAGCTAGGGGCCAAACACGCGGTCTTTTCACCTTTGCCCATTTATTTCATTGTTTTATGCCTTTCAGCGTGTTCTCATCGTTGTTCATTTTCAAGAGCCCTTAGCATATAGGTGCAAGCTATGCAAAAGCCTAACCTTTCTGTTTCCAAACTGAGCAATTCGGCGCGCAATTTGTCAACTTCTGCTGAAA